CCCACCCGGCAGGAGCTCCTCAGCACTCAGTGCTTTTGCTCCTCTGGAGATAAACAACTAACTCTGAAAGCCTGAAATGAATAGGGATGTATATAAAATAAATATGAAGGTCTCAGCGGGTGATTTGCGCTTCCTGCAGAGCTTTCCGCCGTTCCCACCGGGAATGCGGCAGAGCCGGGGTGTCCCGGCAGTGCCAGACCGCTCTGCCGGCGTGCCAGCCGGTGCCAGCCTCACGGAGTGACCCTGGACAAGGCTGGGGAAAGACAGTGTTAACATCCCACTCGGGGTCCTGGGATCTGTCACCAGCTCCCAGCTGGCATCAAAATCTGCTCGACAAAAGCTGGAGGGGTCAGGCCAACGTCGTCGTCACCACGGTGCTGCTCATTGTACATCCTTGCCCAGCCGCTGCCGGCACCCTGAGTTATAACCAGTTGCTGCTGACACCCTCCCACTGCTCCAGCTGGCGCAGGGAGCGGTATTCCCACTCGGAGAGTGCAGGGACACGTGGGCAGGAGCAGCAGAAAAGCAGGCATGGTGCCCATCCACCAGCATTTTGGCTGGTTTCAGTTTCTCAGGCTGGTTTATGGATGGCTGGGGGTCACAACTGGACATCATGGATGGGTGTCACCGCTGCGTACATCACTCCTTCTTCTCTGCTGTGGGGGAATCGAGCCCTCCTGCAGACATCTGGGATGTTTCCCACATGTCCCAGTGCTGGCACCGGCGTGCAGGGCAGTGGTGAGGTGGCCTCAGGAGTGTGGTGGTCTCAGGCAGGCACTGGCAGAGCCTGTGACCATCAGCACCAGGAAACAAAGCATGGAAAGATGCTCCCCAAGCTGTGCCCAGGGCTCTTCAAGCTCTGCTGGTTTAAATGTCACCGTTCAAAACAGCTTTGTAGCCACCACGAAGGACAGGACACCACAGGACCTGTGCTGCTCGCTCCTGCTCTCTGCCCTCCACCAGGCAGGGGGTGCCAGGCTCCGGGATGATCCCCAGGATGAGATCCATCCATGCAGGGTGTCCATGACTTCACTGGGCTCATCAGGCTCAGGGTCTCATCCCGACTCCCCCAGCAAACCAGGGACAAGGAGAGACTTGTCAGCAAAAGGTGTGAGTGAGGAAGAGGAGGAGGAGGAGGGGAGGAAGTCATCTAACACCGAGCAGGTGTCTGGAGAACCCAAATTGTGCTGTTTTCTCCTAATAATGAAGTATTCATGAGTAAAAGCCTTTTTCACTACTTTCTTAAGATACTAATTTCACAACAAGCGCCTTGTTACCATGCAATTATTCCAATCGTGCATTTCTCCCAGATTCCATCTGTCCTCACGCTCTCTAAATGAAAGACAATCATGTAACCACCTTTCATTATTCACTATTTTACTTTCAGCAAAGGTACCCTGAAAGAAATGATTTCCTCTGAAAGGGACTTTTATTCAGTTTCAAAACCAATTTTCTCCTATTACTGTCTTAAAAAAAAAAAAGGAGGGGGGCAGGGAGGTGTTTTTATTTCATGCATTACATATCCTTTGTTAACGCAGCTCGCAGTAAAAGCAGCCGTATCCATTTTCTGGCTTCGATTTCTGGTAATTTTAAAATATGCCATTACAATCAGGCAGAAATTATACAGTTTGAAAAGAGAATGAAGTGCTTCTTATTCAGAGCCTGAGCGCACTTGACTGCCAGGAGTTCTCCTCTCCCCGCCGGGACTCGGGGTTCATTACGCAGCCCCGCTCCCGGCGCCTCGGCTCCCCCGGCACGTGCCCAGCGCCCGCATTTTCCGTGACCCCAACCTCGTCCCCATCCCTGTCCCCGAGGGGTGGCCCTGGTCCAAAGCACCCAAGGCCGTGCAGGGGATGGATGACGGCACCGGCTCCAGCCGTACCTGAGCCCGAGCTCCGCGGTGACCTCAGGGCTGGCGTCCCGCCGGGTGTCACCATCTGGCCGATTAGCGGCGGACGTCACCCGCTCCCTGCGCCGAGGCAGCTCCTGGCGGGGACACTGACCCCTGTCCCTGGCAGACACGGGCGGCGTGGGCGGCTCGTGCCACTGCCGGATGCTGATCGGATCCCTGGTGGTCCCCGGGGCACGTGGGGCGAGGAGGAAGCACCCAGGGGGTCACCGAATCCACGTGCTGGCACAAGGAGGGTGTGGATGCCACCTGACACAGGAGCTGAGGGCACCCTGAGGGCCCAGCAGGTCCCTGGGGACACCCCCAGCACTGCTCTCTGTGCCCTGCCACGCACAGCCCAGCTCCCTCCCGGAGCCATCCCGACCCTGGGCACGGATCGCGGTCGGCAGCGGGCGGGAGAGGCGCGGGAGCCACACGCCAAACTGAATAAAGCCACCCATTAATTCAGCCCCTGCCGCTGCCCGGCGTCTCGCAGCCGAGATGATTTTTCCGACAGCTACGCTGCGCCGCACCCCACCCTCAGAGGCACGCTCAGAACCGGGAAGGCTCCGGTGCCACGGCCCCAGAAGAGCGTCCATCTGTCCACCCAGGCACCCTGCTGGGAGCCCCAAGCCCCAGCAGGCCCGTGGGCGAGCGGGTGGGCGCCTGGCACAATGGGCATCTGTGCCACGGTGGCATTTCGCTAATGCTGCTCCGAAAAGCCCCTGAATCAGCTGATGGGAATTGGGCGCTGGGCTGTCCAACGCTTAGCGCCGGCTTAGTTAGCTCCATCTGCATTTGAACTAATTCCAATCAGCAGGATCCGATTTAGTTCAAGCTGCTCTGGCTCTTTCGTGGCAGGAAAGGCAACACTCAGCAGTTTTGCTGGAACGCCCCAAGTCCGCACGGCCTCTGCCCAGGCCGTGCCCGTGGACCCACCACTATCCAGCACTGGGGCACAGGGTGAGTCCCATCAACAGTGGGGTCCCTTGGGGACATCTGGAGCAAGATCCCCCAGGACCTCCAACCCCACATCCCACAACTGTGGCATCACAGATTCACAGAATGTTTTGGGTTGGAAGGGACATTAAAGCCCAAGTTCCAAGCCCGGTCCAACCTGGCCTTGAACGCTTCTAGGGATGGAGGAGCCACAACTCCATCCTTCCCCTCTCCCACCCCTCCATCCTGCCCCACACCCAGCTAATCCATCTCGACATCACACTATTTATAAGCCCAAGGTCTTTGTGACTTTAATAAAAAACACCACCCTCTATGTCTAAAGCCCCAGTGATGGGAGGGTTTGGCACCTCCTCTGACATCAGCAGTTGATAAGTCGGGCTTATCTCCTCCGAGAGCCCTGCGAAGGTCCCTCCGGCGAGATAAGGCCGGCGCAGCTGTCGATAGAGGCTTTTGCAGGCGAGGATTTAGATAAAAGAAAATGTGACGGGAGGGGGGAGAAAAAGAAAAAAGGAACTTTTAAAGTCTCAGCCTGAAGTGGGTCTGTGCAGCTGCTGAGCTGTGGCAGGGCAGGGACGGTGAGGGACAAGGTCTTGGTCACCATCCAGGCTGTGGTGGAACACGTCCAGATCCTTCCCCGGGTGTTATCCAGGTGCAATCCCATAAAAAGGGAGCTTTTGGGGTTAGGAGGGGAAAGGGGGGCAGGACCAGGGATGCTGCAAAGCTGTTTGAGTCACACCATGGCCATGTTCCCCCTGGTTGTTAAAAGCTAGCAGCGGGTTTGGCACAAGGACAGGAGATAAGAGGTCACCCTGGCTGGGAGAGGCACAGGAGGCTCCTGACAGCGCCAGACGGACACACGGACAGCGCAGGGCGAGGCCAAGGCTGGCAGCAACCAAAGAAACAAAGCAAAAGCCCTCACTGGCCCCTGGTGTGCAGAGTACACCCGAAGTACAACTGGGAACACCCTGTCCCTCATCCCTCCAGGGACAGAGGAGAATCCAACCACAGCAGCAGGGAGCTCCCGCTCCTCACAGCCCCGGCGACATCGGAGCTCCCTCTCACCGCCCCCATCACCGCCACCACCGCTGGTGGCACGGACACCGATCTCCCATCCGATGGCCAGGGTGAGCAGGTGCCAGAGGAGGAAGGATTCCCCTCTGCACACAGTGGATGCCCACCCCATTGCAGGGAGAGCGGGATTTTGGCTGGTGCTGCTGCCTGGCACTGCCATACCCATCTCCCATCCAGATTTAGGGTGGAGGGGATGCCGCAGCTCAGCCCTACAAGGGCTGAGCACAGAAAGGTCACCCCACTCTGAAGTGCATTTTATCAGGTAAAATAAAACCCAAAGTTTGTCACCAAAGGTGCTGTCGGTCACCCCATGACCTTCCCTCGCCCGACCTTCCCTCATCCCGCCTGGCTAATCCGCTCCCCTCCGCGTGCTCCAGCCCCAGGCCTTTCAGGGGGCCCTGTTAATAATTAAATGTTAATCTAAAAAGCAATTTTAGCTGCAGTGCTGCAGATCTGGTTAGAGATTACATTAGCATGTAAGAGTCAAGGGTAATTTTCTCTAACCCCTCTTGTGATCTTTAAAACCCGCAGATCTTAAAGCAACACCAGCTCCTCTGATTAAAATTGGAAGCTGGGGTTTGCGACGGATAATGATGCTGGAAGTGATTATTTTGCTGCTCAGGGTCTCACTGGGATGTGGGGGCTGTGGGGGGCTGGGGGAGAGGCCCACAGCAGCCAAGTGGTTTCTCCCAGCCCGTGCTCTGTGGAAATGCCAGCACTGAGCACAGCTGTGACACCCTGAGCACCCCCATCTTCCACTTTTTTGGGCTTCTGTGACTCCAGGATGGCACAGAGCCCACCAGCTGTGGCACAGTGCCAGGGACAGAGTGGCACTGGACACCAGGACCCTCACTGCTGCCATCCTACAGCAGCATCTCATGTCCCTGCCATCCCACCCAGAGATGAGGTTTCTGCTCTCGTGGAAGCTCCAAGGAGAAACCCCTTGGACTGGTCAAGAAAGTCAACATCAAAAAATATCCCAAAATAACATTTTGCTCACAAGCAGGACCAAAGGAACTGGGACAGGGCACGGCAAATCACCTCCTGAGCACTTCCAAAGACCCTATGGAAGAAACACGGTATCAGATGTGTCCATAACGATGGAATTTAAAAAAACCCGACAATTCGAGTGCTGTTGAGCATTTGCAGACGTCCCCGTGCAGGGCTCGGGCGGCCTGGTTAAATTTATGTGTCAGCTTTAAGGAGGCCTCTCATCAAATGAGCTATTTTGGGCAGAGATTAAAGATCTATTTTCGCTGCAAGCGGGAACAGCTCTCGAACAGGTTAATAATGATTCTGGAAAGCCAAACGCCTCCAGCACCTTGGCTGAGGAACCCAGAGCCCTGGGTGCTGTTGGGGGGCTCCTGAGGCTCCCAGAGCCAGGAGGGTGAGGGATCACAGTGCAGCATCCCCCCGCCCCGCTGCCATCCTGCCGGGAGGAAGGAACCCCGCGTGCCGCGGCGGGCGCCGAGCAGCCGTGGGTAATTGGAAGTGGCAGACGCTGGCACGGCGCTGCCGAGAAGGTCATTACGTGGGGCTGGGAACAAAATGCCAGCAGCGAGGGGGGAGCGGCCCCGTTAGCAAAGGTCAGGGCCCCGCTCGGGTGCCGTTGGTGTTTTTGGCAGGGCTCAGCCCTGGCTGCGTGCACCGAGGTCCCGGCAGGGCCAGCGCGCAGCGGGTGGGCAGGATCTGCCAGGTCCTGCCAGACGTGTGCAGACGTGTCCCCTCGATGTGGCACCAGCTCCTCAAAGCAAAACCTCACTGATCCGACAGAGTGGTGCCGTGCCTTGCTCCTGCACGTGGATTGGGAACAGGGAATGAGGGTAACCGGCCATCATGGATGCTCACGGGCTTTTGGTCTCAGCCCCAGTACAGATATGGGAGCAACCAGCAGAAAAGCCAAGCAGCCCCAAAGAGCAGCAACTAAAGCACTTTGGACCCCCAATAAGCCAGGAGCCAACGCCAGCGTGGGCAACCACACCATGGGCATGCGCAGCATCCACGTCTCCAGCTGAGACCAAACAAACTCAGCAGTGCAGAGACCAGAGCTCCCCATCACAGCTCCTGTCCCTTCCTGGCTCACTCCTGCCTCATCCCAGGGGTTGGATTGTCCCCTGCAGTGACAGTGCCTGTGCTCCCACGGCCATGGGTGCCCCGTCCAGCCGTCCCACACTCGGCAGCCGGGCGCGCTCCACTCCGTAATTACAGCCCCAAGTGCCGGAGCTGTGAAAGAATCTGACGAAGGAATCCAGGGTAGATCGTGCTGCTGAAATTACTATAATCAAAGGCTTTCACAAAGGCTTCAAATGCAACCAATTACCCTGAAAGGCGAGGCAAGAAAGAAAACAAATTAACATGTTTGCACAGAGACTCGGCGCAGCGCACACATCGCCCCGCGCCGCCCTCGACCCCCGGCCGGCCGCTGCTCTCCATCCTCAGTCCTGCTCCCCATCCCTGGCTACCCTCTCTTCATCCCTGGCTACCAGCTTCCCATCCCCATGGCTGGGCCCTATCCCACATCCTGCTCTGCTCGCAGCTGCACACAAAGGGGCTCTGTGCCCGTCCTTCACCCCGCAGCCGCCCACTGCCCCGCCGGCACACAAAAGCCCTGCCTGTGCCACGGCCGGCTCCAGCGCAGGCTCGGGGGCTTGCCAGGGTGGCCTGGGGAAACCTCCCTCGCTCCTTCCCTCCTCCCCCAGCGCTGGAGGGGTCCCCAGCTAAAGGAGGGGAGGGGGGATCCTCAAAGGCACCCATTGAGCAGCCCTGAGTTGCCCACCAACAGCTGGGGAAGCCTCTCACAACGGGGACCCCCCACCCTCCCCTCCTTACGTTCCACTTCGTCTGCGCTGCCTGTCTGGGGGGAAAAAAAATAAAAATCAACTTCTTCCTTTTAATATTTAACACGAGTCCATCACCCTCAGTCTATTTGGTAACACAAAGCTCTGGAGATTTAAACCCTTCTCACCCCGAGAGATGGAAATGAATGGTGCTCTTTAATGAGCTGGTTCAGCAGAAAAG